GACCCCAACTACTGTACCCCAGATACTAGTACCACCATAGGCTTATTACCCCCTGGACAGCCAGAAAAAGCTGAACTGTTAATAATCCCTGAACACCAACTGCAAATCTCAGAACTTTGGAGGATTACAGAAACACACACACACACACACACACACACACACACACACACACACACTCCTAGTGGGGTTTCCAAAGCAAATGCAGTAATGAAAGTTTCAACTGAAATTCAGAAACTCTATGTCTGTGATACTATATGATATCTCCATCAGTTCTGAAAACTCTGACACCAACATTTGAACTGAGTTTGGTATGATGTAAAGATTAAAAACAAAAACAACTATTGGCACTCATGAAACTTTGCTGTCGTATATAAATGTACCTTTTGAAGAAGAAAAAAAGGCTCAGTCTGGTTGTTAGAGTCTAAACTGAAAGGAAGTCTGACTGTTAGGAAGGGGTAGAACAGAAGGACATTGAGAATTACTGAAAATCTGAAACATTTAATTAGGTCTGGCCTCCCGTAGCCTGCGTAGACATACCGTGGGGTCTGTTGACTGCTTTACAGCCCTGGGCCTTAGGTTGTACAACTTCATATGCAGGTTTAATCTCAGCCCACGGCCTTGCTCGTAAGCTATCTCAAATGGCTTACAAACTCACTTATTTCTAGCCCATATGAAAACTCATTCTCTGTTATAAAGACATCATTCAGAGCCCATTCTTTCTCTGGAGGCAAAGGAAAACTTTTGCAAATCTGAAAACCCAAAGAATCTAAAACTTTAAAACTTTAAACAGCACATTGGCACATCTGTTTCTTCTGTCAGTTGACCTAATCAAGCTTTGTTGAGTAGGGGGAAGGGGGAGTAGATCACAGAGAGTAACCATGCTGAACCTGGGTGTCCACACGATTTCTCCACACCCCAAGAACAGCTTCACTTTAAAATCCACTAACCTGCTCATTCTCTGCAAATTCCCAATGAGTACAAGCACCAAATCCTAATCCACTGAATCTGGCACTGCAGGCAGAAAGAGGCTCAGGTAACAATGGCTATGTTGAATTGAGCATCTTTAGAATACCATAAAATGTGAAAGATTTTGACACTTAGTTGCATTACCAATGTGAACTTTCATAAAGGGGAACAAACATTTACAGAGTTTGTTCAGAAGAAATACAGTCACAACTAGTTTCAAAAATCAGGAAAAGACCTGTTTTAAACCAAAAAGGAGGGGGGGAGTGATAGAACAGCGAGTAGGGTGTCTGCCTTGCATGAGGCCAACCTGGGTTCAATCCCCGGCATCCCATATGTTCCCTCTGTGCACTGTCAGGAGTGATTCCTGAGTGCAGAGCCAGGAGTAATCCCTGAGCATCACCTTGTGTGACCAAAAAGCCAAAACAAGAAGCAAACAAATAAACAAACAAACAAAAAAAACAAAAAACACCCAAAACTCAAGAAGGTAATCTGCAAATAAAGTCCCAGCTAACCACAGCAAAAAAATCTTGTCAGATTTGCTATCACTATTTAAAAACTGTTCCTTTCAAATTCATAGGAATAAAAGCACATCCTGCCTGCCTAGTCTTCAAACTTAGTATTTCATGATTATTCCACCAATATGTGAAAATGTTTTGTTCTTTTCTAGCAGAGAGATGGACTATTCCTTCTCCCTTCCCACCCTCCGGCACCTGAATGAAGGTTGGTTTCCGGTACTGTGAGCTTGTGGCTTCCTCGCAAGGCAAGGTTATACCCATCTGGAAGCCTACAGCAAGGCCACTCCAATTTTCTGCTACTGTCAGGGCCAACTCCGTCCCCCTGATGAAGATAGCAACCTGCCAGTGTGAATGTGCACCAGAATTCCAGAATCGTTCTAATGCGCTTCCGATTTACAGAATTCCTTAAAAGTATTTCTGGAAACAATCTGAGTCAGGGTCAAGTGAGTGCAAATAAAGACATCATCTTCAGAGCTGGGTACACTTAGGGAGCTAATTTTCGCATTTTTTATTTGGTATCAGAGAAGACATTCTATAAAAAAAACTTCAACAAAACCATTGCAACTCCTATTAGCAATATCTTTTCCACAAATGATAGACTGTGTGACAAAGCCCTACCATCCATCTAAATGTAGTGCTGTTCTTAGAGGGAGGGAAAATGCCATATCTTGATGCAAAGAGAACAGCTATCGAGACAGAGGATATGGTGTTGAACCTTTAAAATGGACCAGTATCTCCATCTGGACACTCGGAAGCTCTACCATCCACTGATTCAGCTGCATCACAACAATCTGAAGTGGGTAAGGAACTAAAACTGTCTTTATTGTGAGCACACTACTCAGGAGAATTAAAGCTTGAATAAGTTAACGAAGTGGTTTCCAACATTTTTACACCTCCAGACTCAAACTGGCCAGAAACTAAGCAAGCACCACAGCTTTCTCCCCCTTGAACTCCAGAGCCTCCCCTGGCCCCCACAAACTCCACAACAACAAAAGTCAGGTACTTTGCATAATAAAAATGACAAATCCTCCAGCTCTGTTAATTACTGAGCACATTCATTTTTCAACCAATCCCTTACATGGCACATTTAACAACCTGAAGAAAAGAGTAAAATACATTTCAAGTAACAAGCTCTTCATTTTCTGAGAAACTGACAAAGAAGCAAATCAAAACATCAGTGTCTGTTACTGAGAAATACATAATAGTATGGTCAATAATGATATTTGGTGCAACATCACTTGATAAGGTCTGGTGGCTATGAGGTTCGTTAGTTTGCTTATAATTAAGTATTAGTAACTGAGACTCGAGGTACGTGGGGATACTTCCTGGAGACTAATGACCAGCTAGAGGAGTTGATGAATTAAAACAAACCCTCAGGGCCGATAACCCCAACTGGTCATAAATCCCCAGGAAAAGCCTGGCCCTCAATCTTTACACTAATTTTAATAGAGGGAAAAAAATTACTATCAGTTTTCCTCTTAAACATCCACTGCATACTAATACTGCAGAAAGCAACTTCTACAGGCATTAATAGAGTTTCCTTAAACTTTTTTACACAATAAAATTTTTTTACTCTAAGTGGAAAACACCTACTAGTAAATATGTAAAAGAGAATAACTTTCATAGTGTTTTATTACAAGGGACTCAGCTATGATAATGTTTGGGAACCATAATAAAAACATAGCCAACATACAACCATGCAAATCTTACTGAATTTGGGAGTTTCCTAACAATAACTCAAGAAAAGTAAAAGATTCCGTATTGAAGTTTTTAGATCTGATTTATCTCAACTGGAAAAAAAGACTGTGAAAGAAAAACTACTTTCCTTAGAACCAAACCCAGACTTCCAACCAGACCCCCTATCTCACCTTCCACACATCTCCAAGTACCAGTCTGTGTGATGCTGGTGTCAAGAACCACTGGACAGGGCCCAGCAGACATCATCATTCCAAGCAGACGCATGCATGAGTCAATGCTTAGGCTTTGAACTCTTAATCAGGTGCTCAACCAGATTATAAAATCTATCAACCAGAACATTTTTAAGGGCTTATACTTTAGCAAAAAAACATTTTTTTTTTTTGCTTCTGTAAGAAAGCAAACCTAAATCTGCCAATAGAATTCTCCGCTCCATCCCTAAAATTCCCCTAAAACAACCTCTTGCTGTTAGAAATACACTGGACACATTTGGTGCACAGAAGGCCACAGAGTCTACAGCTTCTGCATATTTTACTTTAGTGTTTATATTACCATTCACAACCCTTTCTCTGCTGGCCTTGAGGCTGGCTGATTAGCGAGCAAGCGTTTGAAAGGGTCAGTTAGTCCAGAACTGGAATTTCCACTTTGGAAAAAGCACAGAGGTACCTGACATCTGTTCCTTGAAGGGCCTGCACTACACCTCCAGGCTTACAGTTGAAATTCCTACTTCTGCTTGATGGTAGCGGAGGTCAAAGTTGTAAAACCTCCAGTGGCTAGTCCTGCCTGCAGAGTAGAGGATAGTCCCCAGAGACCTCTGCTTTCTGGCTCCTAGAGAAGAGCAGCCAAAAAATAAATAGGATTTTAATGATACAGATATATTTCTCCGGGAAGAATAAGACAAGCAGCATCTAATTGAGCCCCCAATTTCAGCCTAGAAGTTGGCACTGCTTATAACTCTATCACTTTAGGGTTAAAGCTGCTCCCTGAGGACTCACTAGAACCATTTTGAGATACGGGGTGTGAACGCTTTTTGGTGTCTGGCCGCTCAACTATGCTCTGTCTCCGTCATCTCTCTCTCTCTCTCTCTCTGTCTTTTTTGCCAAGAGATGTGACATGCAAGGGGTCAGGTACAGACACCAGAGTCAGTGCCCAGGGTGCGGGCCCCACATGCCAGGCACAATGAGACACCACGTTTCCATCTAGGATTTTACTAGTGACTTTATGGAAACTCACCAGACTTTCCACTACATATTACAGTATAAATTGGTCCCACAAGTGCCAGCCTCTCCACTCCCCCACCCCCTCACAGGAAGTGGGATTGGCAGGTTTTTTTCATCTTTTTTTTCTTTTTTAAGTTTTTCTCCCTCCTTAAGTTAAGGCAAACATGGAATAGGGTATTTTGAAATGGTTACTTTATTCGAATTATCTTTCAAGTGACAGCTTCCTTTTTTTTTTTTCAGGTCCAGTACTCCTGCCCTCTCCTTTGGCCTCCTCAAACTCACGCATTCCGCGGAGGAGACTGCAGGAGCTGAGCTTTTGTTCTGTGAACTTTGAAGTTTTTTCAAGAGCTACCGCTGAGCAGCCATTGGTTAACGACTTGGCCCTCTCAAAGCGTTCAAGCTTAGGTGTAAACTTTCCTGAAAAGCACCTAGAGCGTTAAGCTGCTACGGGAGAAAGCGAATCCGATTCCGGCGTTCCTTGCCCCGTTTTAAATCCCCCCCAACCCCCCATCACCGCCGCCCCAACCCTGACCTGCACTGGCCCAAGTCAGGCCCCCAGAGCCAGCAGAGAAAACATTTCATGCATAGAGTTTGGTTTGGTTACCTGGGTGGGGGAAACAATAGCAGGTGAAACTACTGTGGGAGAATTGGTGCTTCTGTGCCCATTGGCTTCTGGAAGAAGAGGCAAGGGGTCGTGTTTCACGGAAACCACCACCACCGCATCCACAGGCTCCGAGGGGCGGATACAGAGTCTTTTGGGGGAAGAAGGGCCGCAGATCTCCCCCGGCCCGAACACCGACTCGTACAGCGCGCGCTTGGGCGCAGCCTCGGATTTCACGTCGGGCCCGACCTGGCTGTCTTTGGGGAGGATATAGGTGTTGCCCAGCGAGGGCGCCGGGGGGCGGTGGTGGTGGGAGGGAAGGGAGGGGGGGTGGTGGGAGTGGTGGCGAGCCGCCCCGTTCAGAGCTTCGGCGTAGCAGCCCTGCGGGGCGGGCGAGCCCAGTTTGGTGCCGATGCCCGCGATGCTATTGAGCGTGGCGATGGAGACGGCGCCGATGCAGTGGTTGGTGTAGGTCTTGGAGAGTTTGGCCGCCTTGGAGAGCATCTGCATTCTGGTGCCCAGCAAGTTTTTGCCGATGGCTTTGTTCTCGTACCAGGTCACGTCGCCCTCGCTGCAGTGGTCCCGGGGCCGCTGGAAGAACGCTTTGCACAGGGGGTTGCGCTTGGACAGGTACTTGACGAAGCTGGCGTAGGGGCAGAACTCGGTGCCCGTCTCGTACATGCGGGGCAAGTTCTCCTCGTCGCTGCTCTCGGCGCGCTTCTTGCTCCACGACGACGAGCGCGACTTGTGGTAGGGCCCCAGGGACTTAAAGTAGACGAACTTGCGGCCGTCCTCGTCCATGGCCAGCCCAAAGGAGTCCTCCTCCAGCTCGCGCTGGTTCTCCCGGCCGCGCGTGCAGAAGTACATGCACGTCTCGAACCAGACCTTGTTGAGCAGCCCGAAGGGCGTGTTGGTGCTGAAGACGCTGGAAGTGTAGAGCTTGCGCAGGTCGGCGCGCGTGATGGCTTGTTTCTGCACCACCGGCCCGGCGCCCTGCTCCTCGAGCTTGCGGATCACCGCGGCCAGCGTCAAGTTGGCGCTGCGCAGCTCGGGGTCCTTGGTGAGGTCGAGCGTGCGGCAGTACGGGGGCTCGTTGAGGTAGCGGTTGAGCGAGCTGCGGATGCTGATGAGCGACGACTTGCTGTAGAGCTGGCCGCTCTTGGAGCGGGCCTCGGCGTAGAAGGAGCGCAGCACGCGGCACAGCGCCCCCTTGTCCATGGTCTCGAAGTCCGGGCTCTGCGCCTTCTCGCTCAGGTACTCCCGGAAGATGCGCACGGCGTAGCGGGTGGCCAGCCGGGTGTTCTCGCTCAGCCGGGCCCGCTCGGGGCGCTGCAGCACGTCGGGGTCCAGCTCGGCGCCGTCCCCCGGCGGCCCGGCGCGGGCCCGGGGCGCCAGGAGGCGCGGCGGCGCCTCGGGCTCCAGCGGGGCGCTCTGGTCCATATTGATCATATGGACCGGCTCGGGCTCCAGCTCCTCCCCGGCCGAGTCGTCGGGCTCCAGGGGCTCGTCCCAGTCCAGCCCCATCTCCTCCTCCTCCTCCTCCTCCTCGTCCTCCTCCAGCCCCCCACCTCCGTCCTCCTCCTCCTCCTCCTCCTCCTCGTCCCCCGTTATCTGCACCTCTTGGATCTCGTCCTCCTCCTCCTCCTCCTCCTCTTCCTCCTCTTCCTCGCCCGCGCTGCAGTAGTGCGGGCGGCCGTGGCGGCGGCCGCGGGCCCCCGTGCCGCGCTCGCCCTCGCCCCGCTCCCCATTGTTCTCGGCGGCCGCGGCGCCGGCGCCGCCGCCCGCGCTGGTGGTGTTACAGTCCCCGCTGCCAGGCATTCTCGCCATATTGCCGTCTCTCTGCCAGTCCTCGGGCAGGGCGCATGCGCTATATTGGACCGCAGCGCCGAGCGCTTTTGTGTTTAATGACCTTCAGCTACCGGGAGGCAAAGCCGGGCTCTTAAAGGAGCCGCGCTCCAATTGTCAGTCTGGAGCGCAGCTCCGGAGGGGCCGCGGCGCGCCGGGGATGGAGGGGAGGCGGGGGGCACTTACACGGGGCGTGGGGAAGGACCGCGGCTGGCTGGACCCTCTTCCGCGCCTACCCCGTCACCCACTCCGGAGGAAACTTTGAAGGAGCAGAGAGAAGGGGAGGGAGAGCAGTTGTGGTGGTGGTGGGGGGGGGGGGTGTGAAACACTCCCAACTTACCCTCTGGCGAAGCGGCGCGCGGGCCCGGGCGGGCGCGAGGGAGGGCCGGCGGGAGGGCGGGGCGGCCGCGCTTCTCTAAGTAATGCCCGACGAGCAGTGCCCCTTCCACCGCCCCCTCATCGCCCCCCGCAGCCGGGGGATCGGGCCGGCGGCTTGCCGCTGCGGGAAGACGGTGTGTGTGGGGCCGCCCGGAGCGGAGCGGAGCGAGCAGGTTAATGAGCAGGGTGGAGGAGGCACCCGCGGCCCCGCACCCTCTCTGCGCCCGCGGCCAGGGCGCAGCGGGCGAGGCTTGGGAGCGGGATGGGGCTGGCGGCGGCGGCGGCTCCCCCACCTACTTGCTGGCGGCGAGGCGCGGGGGCCTGGGGCCAGCCGCACGGCTCCCAGCTCCCTTTCCGACTCTTGCACAGCGGCGAAACACGCCCCGCGTCCGCCTCATCCCTTTAGACTTTTCCAACAGCCACATTTAAGCTGTCATTAAAGACCCGAGGCGCTCCCCGTAGGTCCGGGGCAAGTCCGCGCCGGTCCAGCCTGCCTGGGGTAGGAGCGCGAGAGCGAGGCTGGGAGGGGCGGTAGGGAGGGGAGCCTCCGCGGAGAGGCGCCCGGGACCCTAGGGGACCCCCCTCCCCAGTTCTCTCCCACCCCAGCCTTCGCGCCCCAGCCCTCGACCTGGAGCGGGCGGACCAACTGCCTCCGGGCGAGGCGCTCCACCTGGGTGCTGCTTAGAGCGGTGCCCAGCCCGAGGGCCCGTCGGGCGGGCGGAAAAACTGAAGGGGGAAAAAGTGAACTTGGGTGCCGGCCGCCCCCGCCGCAATTCCGATCCCCAGTGTGCCCGGTTCCAAGTTTGCCAACCGCCATTCGTTCGCCCTCGGGGCTGCGCAGCCCGCGGCGCGCGGGGGCGGGCACCTCCGAAACTGGAAAGGCGGCCAAAGAGCTGGCCGGGTCCCGCTTTCCCAGAGGAGACACTGTCCCACTTCCAGCCCAGCGCCCGCCCCCGGCGCGCCCTGGCTCCGGGCGCGTCCTCGCGTCGCCGCCTCCCACTCGGGACCGCAGCGCGGGACACCGCGGCTATTTGCTTTGGATTCACCGCCCGGGCCACCTCCCCGAGCTCTCACGGCACCCGAACCTGAGCCTCCCGAGGGCAGCCCCAGGGGCCCGTGGCACGACGCCAGCCCCGAGTCCCAGGATCGCGGGGAGCCGACGGCGTCGGTGCCCTCCCAACCCCAGCAGGTTCCCGGGGTCGGACCGACGCTCCCACGGGACACCCTCTCACTGCACCCCTGGGCTCGGATATGTCTCTGCACTTCTCCGTATTTCGTTTCTTAAGAGTCCAATCAAGTGCCCGTTCACGCGTTCCACACCCTCTTCTCCCCCACTTTTCCCGGGCCCTCCGTCTGACTTTCGAGGCTGTTTAGAACTGAACGCATCAATAGAAACCCATCCATCAATTTGTAATTAAAAAAAAAACCGAAAAGGGAAAGGAAGCAAGATTAGATCTCGAGGCTGCGTGGGAGAGTCCGTGGGAGCTGACGGCTGTCTTCTGCAGCTCTCGGTCCTCGCCCTCGGCGTGCCTCCTCGGCCCTGGACGCGCCGAGGGGTGTTGGGGAAACCGCGCCAGGTGTGATCAAGTTGGGGCAGGACCCAGCCCCCCCTTCCCCCCAGGGGAGGCCCTCCCGCTCCTCGGGGAAACTCGCTCATTCCAGCACTCCCTCGCTCCCTCACTCATCTCCCACTCCTGCCCTCATCTCGCGCCGCGCTCTGCCCAGGAGCGTCCCGGCAGGCGAGGATTCCTAACATTACATTCTCCGGGGCTCAGCCCCGAGGTGCGTGCGGCTTTGTTCAAATTGCACGGCCCCTGAGTTCAGGGGGTAGCGTGGCATGCTGGTCGCCCGCAGCCCGGGCGTTGCACACGCGGGGCAGCGAGCACGAGCTGGCACCCACCCATTCCCACCCGGCTGTTTCCGGAGGGCTGGCTCTCCAGCCCTGGGATGCAAGCACTAGATTTTCCGCCCCAGCTCCAGGCCGTAGTTATTTCTAAGGTGCTAAGACTTCAGGTGGACGGACTCCGGGCCAGTTCCCGACTACTCGGGCTGCAGCGCAGTGAGCCCTGGGGCCGCGCTGGCTCAGGGCTGCGTTCTCGGGTAGGCCTAGGGAATCACGGTCCCACACTCCAGTCCAGGCGCTGAGGCGCTCCCCAAGTCTCCCCATTTCTGCAGGCGGTGGGGCACCCCCCCCCCCCCCCGCCAGTACCTCCCCTTCCTGCTGGGCAAGCTGCTTTGAATTGCTAGCAGTTTGCCGGAGGCGGTGAGCTGGGTTGGACGCTCCGGGAAACAAAGCAACCAAAAACAGCTTCCAGTTGACGTCAACTTATTTCCAGAAAAGAAAATAGTTTTATGCTCCCAGGACAAAATAACCCCCAGGGCAGGTCTCTACTGGCAAAAGCCAGGGGGGCGGGGATGGGGAACAGCAGAAGCAAAAACCCCTAATGCCTGTAACTTTTTAACGGTCTTGGAAAAACAGGCGTTTCAGCCGCAGCCAGGTCCCTTGTGAACAATGGGCAGAACCCTAGATACGAAAACGCACCTTGGAAAAGGATGCCGGTGGCCTGATTTAGCGGGCGACTGAGAATCTGCTTCGTGGCACCAGCTCCTGAATCGCTACCAAAATTCTTTGTCCTTCATGATACTAAATCAAAAATCAGAAAAGCCCTCTCTCTTCAGGTTAGTATTTACCAGGAAGAACCCCCAGAAAAACCAGCAATCCCCCCTCCAAATTCTTCACTGTTGCTTGATTTTTAAAACCCCCAAACACAAAACTAGAGTGGTATTCATAAAGGAGTTCACTTCCAGATTTCATAAATGGCCCCATAAAAACATCTTGTGGTTCCATGCAGCATTATTCCAAATCCAGAGTGGGGTTGTGCGGGGACCTTATTTCTATCGGGAGGCAATATCAGCTTTGGCACCCACTGCCCACTCCTCTGTGCTGTGTCCAGTCCATTCAGCCCACCCCTGACAACAGCTAACTTCCTGTCAGCAGAATGCATGGGCATAGTTTACATTTAAAAAAAAAAAAGTACTGCAGTACTGTATGGAGCATTTATTTCAATTATTTAACTTTCAAAACTCTTTACCATTAGCTGTGCTGCTGACAACTTCAAGAAGTTTCTCTCATTTGATCATAAAGCATTTGTGCTTCTCCACTAGATTAACTGAAAGTAGTGCCAAATTATTTCTGAAAAGAGAAATTCCAATCCACCCCCCCCCCAAATTATAAACCACTATTTCAGGCTTTGGGGTTCACACATCATGAAAGGTCATGCTATATAAAAACACTCTGGGTAATTCCTCCTTTTGCTTCCAGGCTTTTGAACATTTTCTGTTACGTAATTGAGGTAGTGGCTTTTTGCCTGCCTGCTTCCTCTACTACACCGATATACCTTTGTGTAGGCTGGTACACACAGTGAGCACTCCAGTCGTGAACAATGAAAGACTCAATGACTCAAGAAACTCGTAATTAAATTCTGTATTTAGCGAGAAACTATTTTTGGTAAAAATATAAAATATCCAGAATCTGAATTTCCATATTAAAAATCAAGACAAGAGGCCACAGCAATAGTTCGGTGGGCAAGGCTCAGATATGGTCCCCACAATCACCAGGGATATGATCTGAGCACAACCGGGTGTGACCCCAAAACAAAAAAGGCAAAAAGAAACCAAAAAAACTTTTTATTTAAGAAATGTTTAATCACAGTGAGATCCATAGTTATCAAGTTGTTCAGGATTGGGTTTCAGTCATATAATGTTAACAAAGTATTATTTGTTAAATAAGTGAATGGAATGGACGCTTTGGTTATTCTCGACCACTAATTCCCTTTCTAGTGGAACATACTATAGAAAGTGACTGCAGAAGTTGAGTAAAGGCCAGGGGAATGGAGGTAGCCATTCATTATGAGAAATGGGCATACTGTCAGCACGTAGGTCACTTGCCTTGTACTGCAGGGCCAAATTCAATCCCCAGCATCACATAGGGTCCCTGAGCTCCACTAGGAGGAAGCCCTGAGCTCACACAACTGGTGTGGCCCCCCAAATGAAACCAAACCAAAAGAAAGAGATAGGTAGGGAGCATTTGGGTAGGGAACATTTAAATACGCCAATTCAAGGGATACCGTGGCCTCTTCAGGTCAGAGGCCAGAATTAGCCTTTAGTTCAGTACCTTTGCAGGGGTGGCAGGGGGGTCACACAAATGGTGCTAAGGGTTTACACCTGGCTCTGTGCTTAAAATCACTCCAAGGGGCTGGAGCGATAGTACAGCAGGTAGGGCTTTGCCTTGCATGCAGCCAACCAGGGTTTGGTTCCCAGCATCCCATATGGTCCCCTGAGCACCGCCAGGAGTAATTCCTGAGTGCAAAGCCAGGACTAACCCCTGTGCATCACCGGGTGTGACCAAAAAAGCAAAAAAAAAAAAAAATCATGCCAAGAATACCAGGGGATCATGGAATGGAACTAGGGTCAGTCATGTGAAGGCAAGTAGCACTGCACATCTGTTTGGTCCTTGCTCATCATTTTTACATCATGCTTTCTTGATTTGATTGCTAAAAGATTCATAAAATACTTTGGAGGTTAAATATGAATTCAAATTGAAGCTGTTTTGACATATCTTTGTTTCAAAGTTTCACTATTAAATTCTGTTGAATTCAATTGAAGATCATCTTGAATAATGTTTTTTGAACTCAGATGAAAATAGAATCCATATAATTTAACCCTACCAAGTAGAAGAAAAGAAGAAGGACTTCACAAGAGCAGAAACTCTTACTATGTTATCTCTTGTTCATTTCTAATATAGTACCTTAGCATATTTTAGTGGAATGACTGGCAGAGTAGACACTCAATACACATACAAATATTTATGTCTGGAAAGAGAGCTGGCCTCAACAAAGGGCTGCATAGCA